TGAGTCTAAAATATTGACAGGGTTTCCGTTTATAGGCCACGGAAACCCCGACAATAATTTAGAATCACTCTGTATATTGCTATGACATTACATATTACATCAATCCCTTGCCAAGACGTCGGAATTTTCCTGAAGATGGCAGTGGCTATCAAGGCGAAGAGCTGGTAGAAATGACGAGAATCGAGGCTGTGGGTAGTACTAATGAAATCCAAACTCAATCACCTGTTTGTTCATAAAGCATGAAATAATATATTTTAAAAAAACTAACTCCATGTTCAGGGAATATGGTAACTAAACCATATTAAATGCCGTGAAATTTTAACGGTCATGTGGCAGTGAACACGAAGATTATTCTGCTCGGGGGTGCAATGCCGTGTAACTTTGGCAGAAAGTTACTAACATTTCGGAGCAACTTCTGCCTCCATCTTACCCTGTCTATAAGAATAGACGATTGAAGCATTAAGTTGTTCCGAAACGTCAGTTATTTTCTACCAAATTACAAAGCGTCACACCGCACAACAGAATAATCTAAATGAATTTATCTGTTTCCTTACTTTATGACACTACTATACCGGAGCCCATATTGATGCCCAGGGAATAAAGACAAAGTTCTTCCCTCGCTTTCCTTCCGTGTTTACACAAATTAAAAACCGCCGTTAGAGAAACTGATTATAAACGTAAAAGTGGGAATACTTGAGATCTGCGGCGGGCAAGAGACTCCTCTACACCAAAACGGATCGTGTTCTAAAAGGTTATATATATATATATATATGGCTTGCGGGGAAGGAGCTATGTGTCTCCATACATTCATTCATCAATGGCTCTATATTCTTGAGGGGCGGGCGCTTTTTCACTTTTGTAATGCTACACACAGTCAGTAGGACTCCTTGGACGGGGGATCAGCCCATCGCAATGCCGCTACCTACATATAGAACAGCTCCAATGAGGAATGAACGCATAGAGACATCCATGCCTCGAGTGGGATTCGAACCCACGACCCCAGTGTTGGAGCAGGCGAAGACTGTTGCTGCTTCAGTCCGCGCGGCCACCGTGACCGGCGCTGTGTCTCATGGCCGTGCATATCCCTGGTGTGCTACGGACGAGTATGCACTTGAGGTATCCTGCAGATATCAGATTAAATTTCCCAGCACGATTTTACTGACTTGATCTCTAAGTACATGAACAACTTCCGGGTTACCTGTTTAGAAGAGAAAAACGCTTTTACCGGATGTTCATTAACTGAGTCACATTCCATGATAAATACTAAATGCACGTCACACGTCGCCATCAACATTGTATCAGTACTCAAAGAAAAAAAATAACTCACAGAAACGAAGGAATTCTCGGTCGTTCATGCCCTACGTACGTGGTACCGCTGACAGATAATTCGTTGCTACAGCAACCTAAAGTAGAGTCATTTCGCAGCTTTCATAAAGCTGGCCACAAAATTTTCTCTTTTCCTAACATCATGGTTACTTCTGGTCTGTAACGAGAGTCCGGTCGCACCGCTCTGTGGACGCTTCCGGTCACTGACAGCTTCCACTGGCGGAAAGGCTCACAGAATTCTACAGACCTATTAGTATGTCTCAGTTGATCATAATCATTTTCGAGAAGCTGGTTGTGGTTGAGACAGTCCAGGCATTGCCTGTCTTTTACGAGGTTCATTACCGAGTCCATACGAGCACGCTCAAGTTCAAGGCCATGTACAATATTTAGTAACAAGTTGGATGTTTATGCTGAGGAGAAGTTAGCCCTCCGCCCAACCCTGATCTGGATGATAACCCCTTGTCGGCTGTTCCTCACTGCTCAATCAAGCTATCTTCTACTACCGTCCACATGTTGAGGCCCAAGCACGCGTCACGCCGCGGTGACAAGGGACAGACTGCTATAGCATGTACCTGACGTGCGTCACGTAGTCAGTCGTTCTATTTGAGCTCCGTGCGAAATATGGGTTAAGGGTCAACAGTGCTCAAAATGACCCCAAATTCACAGCCCTCAAAACGTCTTAATGCAACTTACGAGTAAATGGAAACCAATTCAACGCTTTCCAAGATAAGGGACTTTGCTAGGCGGAAAGACACGACATTCCTGTCAGGAGAGCTCCTTTCATGCAAAGAGAGTGTGGGTCTGCTTCAACTGAGGAAGAGAATGTCTGTCCGGGCCCGGGTCCAGCCAGCATCTGTGGTGCATAAAATCAATACACATCCCAGCAGCGGCGCGGCTGCGGGCCGACACCACACTCACAGCACTCGCAGTCCTGAAAACTCTACTGCGACGCCTGTGTGAATACCTAAATAACAGACCCTACTAATAAATCAAACTAGAAGATCAAGCAAAAATTATAATCTTTCGATGAAAACATAAAAGAAGGGACACCACGAACACACGTCTCGAGACTTCGAAATAGAAAATAAATTCGGTAACTATATGGAATGAAAGTGTGTGGCACTATTTCTTGAAACATTAGGTATCACACCAAAATATCTGATTTACTGCATATTCAAACTCATCTATCTATCTATGTATCTATCTATCTGTCTATCTATGGTTTTGAGTTCATTTTGTTGGACCCTGACAATCCAGAACCTTTTGTCTTCTGGTCTGCTGTCCAAAAACATAAAAATTAGAATATAAAAAACTATAATTTTTCCTGTGGTTCTATATGAGTGTGAAACTTGGTCTCTGATATTAAGGGAGGAACATAGACTGAGAGTGTTTGAGAACAGGGTGTTGAGAATATTTGGACAGAAGAGGGATGAAGTGACAGGAGGTTCGAGAAAACTGCATAATGAGGAGCTTCATAGCTTTTACTCTTCTCCAAGTATAATTAGAACGATCAAGTCAATGAGGACATGTAGCACGAATGGGAGAGAAAAGAATGCATATAGGATATTGATGGGAAAGCCAGAAGGAAAGGGACCACTGGGAAGACCAATGCGTATGTGGGTCGACAATATTAAATGGATCTTAGGGAGATAGGATGGGAAGGTATGGATTGAATTGATCTAGCTTAGAATAGGGACCAGTGAAGGGCTCTTGTAAACAACGTAATGAACCTTCGGGTTCCATAAAATGCTGGGAAATTCTTGAGTAGCTGCAGATTTGGCTTCTCCTCAAGAAGGGCTCAGCTCCACAAGTAAGTACCTTGTATAACGTGGAGAGTGCGTCGGGGTGTCCTTTGTAATAAGATCTACGAATGTCTGCAAATTATTTCAGAACTCGTACAAGCAGCATCGAGATGAGCAGATCAGAAGCAATCGAATCAGATGCCCCAGAGGGGGCGCAATGCGCAGTGCAGTTTATTCCAATTCGAGTTGCAGCGCGCTGATTCCTTTGAGCCGTGACCAATGTTCGCGCGCTAAACAGATGCCTATTTTTACCGAATTAGAACACAGTAAATCCTCGCTAATCCAGAATATTTGGAAGGGGGAGAAGTCATCGGGATTAAACGATAATCCAGATTAGTGAAGCGGAACACGACGAAATCGTGGACTAGCCATACTAATCCAGTTATTCGTAACCTTGCCGGGCTGTCTGTGGCCATGCATTAGTGCCGTGCTACAGATGACGCGTTCGTAAATACTTTGAGGGTTTGTTACGTTTCAGTCTTAGGATTCATTGTGTTAGCAAAGGGAATACCGGGAACTGTTCCCCGGTCTTCCTGTCAGTACATTGCAACGATTATATCCGTCAGTATCAGTCAACAGGCTTTCCGTTCAAGACTGTACTAACTTGGAGTTCAAAAATTCGTCGTAAAAACAACATCCTCCTCTCAATCCATTCCAGCCCAATCACACCTCCAAACATCTTCTGTCGTAAGCAGGCACACAGGCCATTAAACCGCACAGCACTTTGTCACGGCCCTTTTTCATGTCAACTCTTCATTCGTACGTACCTCGTAATAGTGAAGAGGTAGTTTATGTGTCACCACCTCGGAGATGACGTAAGCGATGCAGATGACCACCAGCAGCTTGGCGTAGATGAAGCTCATGATGATGAACAACGACGTCCTGCAACATAAACATAAATGCAAAGCGTTGACAGTATGCTCCAGTAGCATAACTGGCAGGTGGCAGCTATGCGCTGCGAAGACGGATTGTCGTTGTACTCTGGCTAAGCGGTGAGTAGTGGAAGGTTGCAGGGCTCACAGGGGTCAAAAATTTGTGCAGGTCTACGTGGTTAAGTGGGGTTCTGAGGTTCGCGTAAACCAGGTTACACTCGGTCCATGTGGACCGAATTCGAATTAACTAAAGAAATTTCATGCAGGTCTCGGCCTCCTCCTCCCCGCAAGCACAACGTTTCACTGAAATCCGTGAAATACTTCTATAGACGGACAAGAACACGGTCTCCCCATTAAGGTTCGGCCACACAGAGTGCTATACGAACAGAAAAATATCTCCATTTATTGCCAATATGACTGGCCACACAGACTTCCGTATGCTACGTACGCTATGTTCCCTATGTTACCTGCGTCGCAGAGTGTACACAGCGTACGTAGCGTACGTAGCGAACATAGCGTAGCGCTCTGTGTGGCCGAACGTTTACACGTTAATTTAACGCAATTCGTACAAGGGGGATTTCATACAAGTTGTGCTGACATGTCACAACACGAAACAAATGCTGCTGCAATAGGAGCTGACAATCGGTATGCAGCAACAGACTAAGGGATGGCCGACCGATGACCTGGGGTCCGATTCCTGGCAGCGGTAAGAGATTATTCTCCTCTCCGTAGCGTCCAGCCCTGCTCAAGGGCCTACCATGCTACCTATCCACTGAGTACCAGGGACTCTTTCGCGGGGGAAAAGTAGCCGGAATTTGAAGCTAACTACTCACTTCTATCGCTTGTCAGGGTTACAGATTTGACTGTCACAACATGATACTGGGCCGTGCATCGATTCCAGTTTCCATAACCATTTTCTCTTACATTAGTCTTAATATTTCATTCCCCGCCCCTCTCTATCAAGGGGTTTGCCCATCAGCAGTCTGTGTTTACTTCTGTTCTCCCTTCCATACTGCACGTTCCGATGAGTCTAGGAGTCTATATCTCTGAACTAAGAGACTCAGGTGACATGACAAAAACAACGAAATTCTTCACTGATGTAACTGCGACAGTTTCCTCTCCAAGCAGCTGAGGTTCCTATCTTCGTTGTCTTTAAATCCGCCACGACCCTGAAGTTGTTGGACAAGTCTGACCACACAAAACGCCAATGAAGTGGGCTCGATAAGTCTGTCTGTTAAGCAGTATACAGTAGAAGTGTGCTAGAGACACATCTACAATCTTCGAAATATTTTACAGTAGTCACTACTCTAATAATTCTGAAATATGTAAGCCTTCAGGCTCACGCCTCTTGTCCGTCTTGTGGAACAAGAATATATGTTAAGCCAGTCAGTGAATCATAAAGAGGACATCCAGTTTCCAAGTTGAGAGAATATCATGGCCACTTCATATTCGGGACATTGCGAGTTTGAATCTTGTCCGGAAGACTGCCTACCCTGACTGAGCTGTTTCGTGATTTCCTTCGTTTCCTACAAGCAAATGTCCTAATCATATCTCACTTTAGGATATCAATACTTCCTTCTATACCTTCGCAATTCACAGTTCACTTTCTATCAATCGACTTTTTCTGTTCTGAGCTACTGAACAAACTGTCAAAAGTAAAATTATCCCTGTAACAAGCGCATACTGTTGTGAGACGTCGAGGCTCCAACATTTTATGGACAACCGGTTCACAGATGTCGGTAAGTTTGTCAGCGTTACGTTCCGGCCGCCCTTTACCATCAGGAAGATTCATCGTAATCATTTCTGTTAGAGGCTGAGCCGACACTCGGGCCACAGTGCGGCTGGAAGGGTTAGGTCAATTGAAAAAAAAATCCAATGTCTCACCGAACTATGTTACAGCGTGCCCATAATAATATTAATGATAATAGTGTATACTCCTTACTCAGTATTATTCGGATGATCAAGTCGCGGGGGATGAGATGGGTAGGATATTTGGCACAAACTTGTGAGACAGAGTTTTGTCCGAAATACCTGAAGGAAATATCCCGCTTGGAATATCTAGGCTAACTGGGACGATAATATTAAAATGGATCTTAGGTAAATGAGGTGGAAGGTTGTGAACTGGATTCATCTGGCTCGAGGGCGGTTCCATACAGGCTCATATGAACACAGAAATGAATCTTAGAATTTGCGAAAAAGAGTAACTGAGCGACTGTTAGTTTCTCAAGAGGAATCTGCTTCACGGAATTAGTTCATTGAGTACAAGAGCGTTCCGGAGGAGAATACGTGGAAGTTACGCTACCCGGAATTACGCAATGATGAACTTCGAGATTTATGCACGTCACTCATCATGGTTAAAGTCAAATGTATTTGGACAGTTACGATGGACAGGGAGTGTAGCTAGGATGAGGATATCAAGTAATGCATATCGAATTTGGGACAACATTAAGATGAAGCTTATGGCTGCAGATCGTTAGGACCAAATCTGAATGGAATTGGATACATGCCAGGTCCGATAACCATCTTCTGAACACGCGCTGCTGCGTCATGTCCAACTAGCAAACAGTTCTATGGGCGTATAGCCCATAAGAGCTGTGTGCAGTCAAGATGCGACCTCCCCCACCCCCTGTTGTGGAACTCAAGTTTACATTTACGAGAGAGCGCAATTACTTGTGGGAAGATTGCGGGTAGAAACTTGGGGCCCTCTGGTCAGTAACGCAACCCAACCTTGACGATTCACTGTGGTTCCATCCATTTCACTTCACTGAAGTCTAAATTGATGAATTTTAAATCAGGAGTGTTGCACGAGAAGCATGCAATAACAAACTTTGTCCTAGGGAGCCGTCTCACCATTCTATTAAATTCAGAGGAAACCAAGAAAACCTGTGTCAAGATAGACTGAAGACTAAAATTTGTCTACGTGGCACTTAAAGATTCAGCTCCCACCTCACAGGGAACACACCGCTTCATTAGAGCAACCGGTAAATCTTCTTAGGGAAATAACGCCTTTATTCTGATAATCATATGAAGCACAGTTGTAGTCTGTGGACAAACTGCAGAATTTTAATATTAAAGTTTAAGAATGTGGGTTGTGCCTTATCTCAGGTGGTTACTCGTCGGCTTCTCAAGCTGTGGCCTGGGTTCTAGCCCAAGTCATGTGGGATTTGTGGTGGACCAAATGGCACTGTCGCAGGTTTTCTCCGAGAACTTCGGTTTCCCCTGCCAATTCTCATTTCACAGACTACTCCATAGTTATCATCATTATCATCTACTATCCGGGGCGGTGCAATAGGCCAAACAGTGGTCGACATATCAAGTGGACTCAGTCTCACACTACCCTTAGATTAAAAAAAAATGAAAAAGTAGGTATGGAGGGTTTGCCACGGCCACAGGGGGTGCCACGCCCACACGAGTGGAAGCAGCATCCGAAGGCAAATCGTGGCCAAGTAACAGGGTACCCTGAGCAAGCTGTCAGTCCGTCTATCCGGAACACAACACAGTTTCCTGTCTCGAACTCGTCCCTCTAGAAAAAGAATAGCTGTTTTGCTGATACTGTAGCTTTAAATGCTAAATAGATACATGTGTTAGGAAAGGAACTTGCCACTGCTGTCCATGCCCTTCCAACTGCATTTCGGAATTTGCCAGTTCCTTCATCATGTGAGCATGAAAAGAATTTTTTTGTTTCTATTCCAATTAAATACGCTGCCAGAATTTAAGATAATATAGAATAATAAATTGAAAAATTTTGAAAGGAACAGTTCGTGGTATTTGCTTGGAAGGGCTGAGGAAATCCATGGGATATCCCCCGTCTGGGTGAGCAGGGTCCCGTCCGAGATTCTAACCGGACAACTCCCGAGTATATGGTCCAACTCGTTATCGGTTGTGCTAACTTGCTGGATAGGCTAGAAGAAAGAAAGGCCATTCCGCTGTGTCCCTAGTCTAGGCCATTTTCTAACCGTGGTTCCGCCTAGAGTCGTTGGGATCCCACGGACTGGACTGCCCTTCATCTTGTTTTCTTCCAATAATAAAGCAAACGCAGCCAATCCCCGAAACGTGGAGATTCCTTTTTTGTTGACTCGGGCGATACAAATGTCCCAAATATTTTAGTCTGTCTGTTACGAAACCCGAAGGCTCATTACCTTTACCGCGAAACCTACAAAACAATACAACATCGGAGTGTAACTGGTCCGCTGAGCAGATCGGCACAGCGGTGACAGTCCAGACTAGTATAGGGGAAACGCTCGCTACAAATTTCGGCAAGGACACTGGCTCTCATAAGTGAGGGTTTTCGTGTTTTTCTTCAGCCCCGTGAGGAAAATGTAGGGATAGTTCCTCGATTTGGACACGACCGCCTCCTACCGAATCCTTCGCATTCATCGTTCATCGGTCATCCTACCATTCGGCACTATATATTGTTTACAGAGCGGGAGCATCGTAAGAGAAACCGTTCTTTCTGTGCAACAAATTTAAAGCCAACGATTCTGCAGACGGACACAGGGGTTGCGAGAAGCTGACGTATCCTGCTGGTCTGGTGAGACCCAAGCCATTACAATCCTTGTCTACCATACGACGCTTTTCCACGTGTTTCCGTTACCTAGTCAGAGGCTGCGGCCGCACTTTCTTCAGTTCCATCTCCTTGTTGGTCACATTGTTCTTCTCCGCCGTGACGTCACTTCCGCCGTGAGCCCTGGATACCGGAAGTGTGGCCATGTTGTCAACGGATTCCACCTCAACGGTGGCGACTTTCACGTCGCCCCCGCCAACCATCCCGAACGATAACTGTACGCGACTTGCCCCTTGCTCGGTAGGCAGGCCACTCTGAGCTGCTCCTTCGAGAGACTGCAGCAGAGAGATGAGGCTGCGCGCGCATCACGTCCGGGGTTCACACGGCCCGGCGCAAGGCGCGGGGTGATGTCCGAGTGACCTTGCGAGGTCACAGTGTGTTTGCATGCTCACAGGTGTGTCTTGATGTGCCATAGTATTCGTTTCTCACGCTTTTAACACCGATAT